CCCCTCTCCTTCCAGAGTCCCAGGGCCATCTCGATAAAGCAGGCATTGCGCTTGGGTGCTCGGAGGGGGCCAGGCAACGCCTACTCGCCAGTGACTAAGATTCGACCACTCAGACACTAAAAGACGAAGTGCCAGGAATTGAAATGCACATACATGGACGCCCGCGTCGAATAGTGATGGTCTCTCTCTCGCTCTCTCTCTCTCTCTCTCGCTCTCTCTCTCGCTCCCTCTGTGTGTCGTTATGGTTATCTCTCTATCTCTCTCTCTCTCTCTCTCCCCTCACGACACACCCACATGCATACAGACAGACAGAGAGACAGGCAGACAGACAGAGAGACAGACAGACAGGCATACACACGTGCACGCATGCATACATGCATACATACATGCACGCATATATATATATATATATATATATATATACATGCATACATACATACTAGAACCACGCGCGCGCTTCGCGCGCACTTAGGTTCTAGCACCCCCCAGACCTTGACAAGCTCACAGATGCACGCGTGCACGTAAACACAAATTGCTCGCACATGAAGTGAAGAGGTAGCAATCGCGCGGACCGAACAGAGACGGAACTCTGACAAGTATACACACAGACGCATGCAATGCGAATCCATATGACATGATCGTGGAAATGTCATGCAGTGGCTATGCAACGTATTGCAACTCAACGCAAACTACTGCAAGGATAAATGAAGCACAAATGACATGCAACGCAACGCTCTGCACATCAAAAATTTGGAGCGGCCATTGGGATGTCGGCTCGTGCGATCGTTGATCCATCTTGTGCCACTCTGGGGCTTCTCTAAACGCTCGTTGTTCGGGTGTTGCGCGGCGTCGGCCGGAACTTCTCTTGGGGCCCTATCGTGGCTGAGTCGGGGCTGTCCTGGGGTGTGTGGGGGTTCAATTGGAGCCCCAGAAAGCTTGTTCCGGGAAAGGTGTGGAGACCTCCAGGGGGCGATGTATCGTTTTGTGCACACCGTGCGACATTTATGCAGCTGGCTCTGCATGCCTGAAGACGGCACGGTTGCCAACGTAGACCTCTTACAAAGTCAATTTCCTTCCGCGGGCTTCAGACGAGGTTCCGCTGGCTTCCGCCAGCCAGATCGCCCTCGATTTACATCCGCCAGCTTCCGCGGGCCTTCGGCCAGCCTCCGCGGTGACCAAGAAGACGACTTCTGAATTCCTTTAAAACGAAAGCCTTCTTGAAACACTATACACGGACTTGGGCGCCGGGGAAGGGCCTTTGCGCGTCGAAACACCGTAACGCGTGGCACCAAACTCGAGGATCCATATAGAGCTCGATACTGGCCTGTTGGCATCCAGCCTATCCCGCCACCGCGTTTGGGTTGTGATGCAGAGGTATTTTGGATGCCGGTTTTATGGTTTGACAACAAGTGAAAACAAGCAGTACCAAGACGCGTACACATACAAGCAATGCGAAAATGGGTGGACACTCGCGCACTCGCGCTTATGGAAATGTCGGCAACAGCCGAGCTGAAGGATACTGGATGGTTCAAACATGCGACCATCCAGGCAGCCCATACCCCTTGGGGGAACCACTAGGTGAAACAAGGTGAAACAGCATGAAAAGAACATGAGTGGCATAGGGGGTCCCCCTTGCACGAGCGTAGCGAAGCTACACTGAGCGAAGTCCGATTAGACATTGCGCGGACTACCCCAAGCCAGCTCAGACAAGGTCTCTTGGATGCCTGTTGGGGCTTCGTGGGAAGCCTCTGGAGAGCCTACTGGAGGCAGTTTTGAAACATATTGGGGGTCGTTAGGGGGCCTAGTTTGGGCCTCGTGGAGCCTGAAGGCGATCTCGGGGGTCTCCTTGGGGCGGATGGCTCGAAATCTCAATTCGAGTTTTCTCTCTCTCTCTCTCTCTCTCTCTCTCTTTCTCTCTTTCTCTCTCCTGGGACCCTCTACTGTTGAGGCTCCCGTGGGGCCCTATTGGGCACCTCTTGTTGAGCCGTCTTGAAGCCCTCTGGGGCAATCTTCACGGCCCGAACCCAATCGTCAGACCAGCTGGAGCGGTCTCGGGCCGCTCTCGGGAAACCTCCAAGCGCTCTTGGAGCTGTCCTGAGTGTTTCTGAGGTGGCTCTGTAGGGCGTTCTGACGCCTTCCAGCAGCCTCGGAGGCCCATCGGCAGTGAAAAGGCGACGTGCTACGAACGTACTGCTTGTGGACAGATTTTGAGCAATTTGGAAACTCGGAGCCCTCTTGGGAGCGTCTTCATCCTGTACCTGGAGGCCTCTGGGAGCGTCTGTGGGCCGCTGTGGAAGCGTATGGGGGTGTCTGGGGTCCGTCTTGGGGATATTGGACCATCTGGGCAGCCTCGAGGGCCGTCGGGGGTCCATCCGGGGCCGTCTTGGGGTGGTCTTGAGAGGCACATGAGCATTCTTGCAGCCGTCGTGGGAACCTCTTGGACCAGCTTGGGACGGTCTTGGGGGCCTCTTGGACCGTCTTGGAGCGTCGGGACGACGAAAAATTGAGGAAGCCAAAAACCTTTAAAAGCCTGAAGGCAAGCAATGATTTTGGCTGTTTGGGTCCCTCTTGGGAATGCTCTTGGGGTTGTCTTGGGACGTCTTGGACGCAACTTGGGCCTTCCGGGAACCATCTTGGGCGTCTTGGAGCGGTCGTATGCGCGTCGAGGCACGCTTTGACCGTCTTCGACGCCTCTTGGGCCGTGTTTGCAAGCTCTTGGGCGGTCATAAGCGCCTATCGGGTTGTTTTTAGGCCCTCTTGGGCCGTCTTGGGGCGTTCTTGGGGGCCTATTGGGCGATCTTGGGACGGTCTTGGGGACTTCGTGGGCTGTCTTGGAGGGTCGGGACAACGAAAAAACAAGAAAACCAAAAACCTGCAAAAAAACAAAGGAATTCAATGATTTCGGCCTCTTGCAGCCCTCTTGGGAATGCTCTTGGGGCTCTCTTGGGACGTCTTGGAGGCCTCTTGGGCCATCTGGGAGCCATCTTGGGCGTCTTGGAGCGGTCTTAGGCGCGTCGTGGCACGCTTTGACTGTCTTCGACGCCTCTTGGGCCGTGTTTGCAAGCTCTTGGGCGGTCTTAAGCGCCTATCGGGTTGTTTTTTAGGCCCTCTTGGGCCGTCTTGGGGCGCTCTTGGGGGCCTCTTGGGCGATCTTGGGCCGCTCTTGGGGACTTCGTGGGCTGTCGTGGAGGGTCGGGACGACGGAAAAACAAAAAAACAAAAAAATAAAACCTGAAAAAAACGGAATCCCATGATTTCGGCCTATTGCAGCCCTCTTGGGAATGCTCTTGGGGCTCTCTTGGGACATTTTGGAGGCCTCTTGGGCCGTCTGGGAGCCATCTTGGGCGTCTTGGATCGATCATAAGCGTCTCGAGGAACGCTTGGACCGTCTTCGGCGCCTCTTGGGCCGGACAAGGGCGCTCCAGGAGGCCCGATCCCGCCATGGGGGGTTGCGGTCCAGGCCAGGGAGCCCCTGGCCCTGTAGCCCGGTATATATATATATATATATATATATATATATATATATATAGCATACATACATACATACATACATACATACATACGTACATGCATACATACATACATACGTACCAACGTACCTACCTACCTACCTACCTACATATATATATATATACATACATACATATATATATATACGTACATCCCTACATACATACATGCATACATGCATACATGCATACATGCATACATGCATACATGCATACATGCATACATGCATACATACATAATTACACACATACACACATGCATACATACATACATACATACATACATACATACATGCATGCATGCATGCATGCATGCATGCATGCATACACACATACATACATACATACATACATACATACATACATACATACTACATACATACATACATACATACTACATACATACATACATACATACATATACATACATACACATACATACAAATACATACATACATACATACATACATACATACATACACACCACATACATGCACGCATTGACGCATGCATGCATGCATACATGCATGCATGCATGCATGCATGGGAGTTTGACGTAGCTTCTCGGGAGCCTCTGAACCTGTCGGGGGCCTCCTGGAAGCAGGTTCGAAGCATTTTGGGGGCCGATTTGGGGCTTCTCGGGGCCTCCTTTGGGCCTCTTGGGGGTCTCCTGGGGCCTCTTGAGGGGCCTCCTTGGGGCCTCCTGGCGGCCTCTTGGGGCGGAAGGCTCGAGCTTGCGGTTCGTGGTCCCCCTCTGGGCCCCCTCTTGGGCCCGTCTTGGGGCCCTCTTGGGCCATCTTGGGCGCCTCTTGGGCCGTCTTGGGGCCCTCTTGGGCTGTCCTGGGGCCCTCTTGGAAGCTTCTTGGGCCGTCTTGGGGCGGTCTTGGGCGCCTCTTGGGCCGTCCTGTAACGTCGGAAAGCCCAAAAGGCGACTTTGTGAAAAATGTACGTTTTACGAAGGGAATGGGTCAATTTTTGCGTCTAGGGGCCCTCTTGGGACGCATGTTGGAGGCTTCTTGGGGCGTCTTGGGGGCGTCCGTCCTTGGACGTCTGGGGTCTCCTGGGGCCTCTTGAGGGGCCTCCTGGGGGCCTCCTGGCGGCCTCTTGGGGCGGAAGGCTCGAGCTTGCGGTTCGTGGTCCCCCTCTGGGCCCCCTCTTGGGCCCGTCTTGGGGCCCTCTTGGGCCATCTTGGGCGCCTCTTGGGCCGTCTTGGGGCCCTCTTGGGCTGTCCTGGGGCCCTCTTGGAAGCTTCTTGGGCCGTCTTGGGGCGGTCTTGGGCGCCTCTTGGGCCGTCCTGTAACGTCGGAAAGCCCAAAAGACAACTTTGTGAAAATGTACGTTTTACGAAGGGAATGGGCCAATTTTTGCGTCTAGGGGCCCTCTTGGGACGCATGTTGGAGGCTTCTTGGGGCCTCTTGGGGGCGTCCTTGGACGTCTGGGGTCTCCTGGGGCCTCTTGAGGGGCCTCCTGGGGGCCTCCTGGCGGCCTCTTGGGGCGGAAGGCTCGAGCTTGCGGTTCGTGGTCCCCCTCTGGGCCCCCTCTTGGGCCCGTCTTGGGGCCCTCTTGGGCCATCTTGGGCGCCTCTTGGGCCGTCTTGGGGCCCTCTTGGGCTGTCCTGGGGCCCTCTTGGAAGCTTCTTGGGCCGTCTTGGGGCGGTCTTGGGCGCCTCTTGGGCCGTCCTGTAACGTCGGAAAGCCCAAAAGACAACTTTGTTGAAAATGTACGTTTTACGAAGGGAATGGGCCAATTTTTGCGTCTAGGGGCCCTCTTGGGACGCATGTTGGAGGCTTCTTGGGGCCTCTTGGGGGCGTCCTTGGACGTCTGGAGGCCATCTTCAGCATCTCGGAGCCCTCTTGGAGGCCTCTTGGAAGTTTCTTGGGCCGTCTTGGGCGCTCCTGGGGCCGTCTTGTCTGACCGGGGAGGCCTCCGGCAAGCCCCGACGAGCCTCCGGGCCCCCCGGAGCCCACATTTGTGGTCGAGGTCCCGGCCCCGGGCCCCCGGACCCGGTGCGCCGTTATATGTATTTGTGGTCGAGGTCCCGGCCCCGGGCCCCCGGACCCGGTGCGCCGTTATATGTATACAATCAATACACACACGTACATACATGCATGAATGCCTTCATGCATACATACATGCATGCACGCATATATGCATAACTGCAAACAGGCATGCATGCATATATGTATGTATATAACTATACATAAACAAGCATACAAGTATTAATTCATTCATTCGTTCATTCACTCCTACATGTATGCAAACATGCATACGCGCATGCATAGATACATGCATACATGCATACATACATGCATACATACATGCATCAATATACTCATATGTATATATATATATACATACATACATACATACATACATACATACATGCATGCATGCATGCATGCATACCGACAGACAGACAGACAGACAGACAGACAGACAGACAGACAGACAGACAGACAGACAGACAGACAGACAGATGTATGTGCAAGCATACGTATATAAGTACAACTATGGTGTGTGCATATATATATGTATATACATACATACACACACACACGTGTACATTCGCCACCGTGCAACGAAGGGTCCAAGACGCTCAAGATGACCCCAGGACGGCCCAAGAAGCCTTCGAGGCGCCCAAAGAGATCCCTACGAGCCTTCCCAAAAGTGCCCCGAGAGGCAAACAACATTGTTCCCTTAGGTTCTTCCATGTTCTTGGGGTCTTAGATGTTCGGAGCGCCCGGTGCTCCAAGACGGCCCAAGAGTCCCCGAAGACCGCCCCAAGACGGCCTAAGAGGCCCCCAAAAGGGCCCCAAGACGGCCCAAGAGGGCTCAAGGACGGCCTCAGCTCCAAGAGCCAAAACGGTCCCGAAGTGCCCTCAAAACGGCCCCCAAGAAGCCCCCAGCAGGCCTCCCACGACATCCCAGCCAACATCCGACAGGCCTTTGACGCACAACCAATGCACAAAGCGGCGGGATGGGCCGAAGGCCCTGATATTACTTATATATTACTCGTGTGATGTGCAAATACGTACTTGTATACATCTATCTCCACATCTCTCTCTCTCTCGTTCTCTATCTCTCTCTCTCTCTCTCGCTGTCTTGTTTTGTTTCTCTCTCTAACTCTCTCTTTCTCTCTTCTCTCTCTCTCTCTCTCTCTCTCTCTCAATCAATCAATCAATCAATCGACCATTGAACACACAACTATACATATATAAGACCATCGTCATGCTTGCCAGCGTTGCACTGCGGGCGTGCCAGCTACATCATGCAGCGCATGTGATGCCCAGGTGCAGGCTGCGTGGCACAACCTGCGCAGCGAAACTTCGTGGTGCAGCCCGTGCGGTGAGTGCTACGCGGTGCGCAGCTACGCGGTGCAGCACCTGCGGGGGGGGGGGGGGGCCAAGCAGCGCGGCGCAACCTCAGCGGCGCCAGCTCTGCGACGGGCCACGTGGCGCCCACGAGGGGCCCACGGGCGGCGACCCGACGGGCCCACCCAGCGCACGCGGCGCCCAGTGGGCGCCCACGGCAGGCAGCGACGGCACACCCACGCAGCGCACGGGGCGCCCACGAGGAGCCCACGGGCGCGGCCACGAGGCGAAGCCTCGGCACACCCACCCAGAGATCTCGAAGCTGACGAAGAACCCCTGGGCGCAAGCACTGTCCTGGGAAAGCGCCTGCGCGTGCGCCTCCCTCCCTCCCCCCCCCCTGCCCTCCCGGTGCCTCCCTCTCCTCCTCCCCTCCTCCCTCTCCCCCCTCCTTCCTCCTGGCTCCCTCCTTCCCTCCTTCCCTCCTTCTCCCTCCTCGCCCTTCTCCCTCCTCGCCCTTCTCCCTCCTAGCTCCTCTCCCCCTCCGCCTCCCTCCCTCTCCCTCCCTCGCCCCCGCGCGCGGGGCCTTGATCGGGCCGCCCCAGACGCCCTGGCCCGCGGAGGGGGCCGCCGGCCCAGCGCCGTGGGACGGGGCGGTGTGCTGGTACGGGCACGCCGCGCCC